GCTTCACACAGCTTCTGTCTGAGTGCTGAAAATCCTAAAACAAAGATGTACCAAGATCATGCTTGGAAATGGAAAATGAAGGGATCAAGACAAACAAAACCGTGCAACTATACACATGAGTAGACACAAATACATGTACATACATATATGTGTACATGTAATCATATGTAAAATTTATTAATAATATGTATACATGGGTCTACATGCATAGCTATAAATATAGGTATAAATACAGACATACAATATCAAAAAGCTACATTGACATATACATAATCCATTCAAGGGAAGGTTTCTATTGTTAACAATGTTTTAAAACCCTCATAGCACAATCTTCTTCTGTTAGATGAGGATGAGGAGGTGCAAAAATTAGCAACTGAACCACATAATAGCTGACCAGGGGCCCAGGGCTCCTAACCCCCCGCTCCCAGGTCAGGTCTCTTCCAACTGAGAGATAAAGTCTCAAAGCTGCAAAGGGCCTTAAAAATCACTTTATACCCACACCCATGAAGACTTCTCAGAGCCCCCGACCCAGAGGTTTCCCAGCCTCTGTTGCAACAATTTCCCCAGGATACCTGAGCAGCCATGCCAGAAAAACTCTAATAGAACATTCTTTTTGCTGAGCTAAAATCTGCCTGCTGTGGCTTCCACCACTTCTCAGAGTGGTACAAAGGACCATGTGCAGTTCAGCAGGCATGTGCTCTGTGTGTGTACACACATTTCTGTAACCATGTGACCTTGGGCACAGGACTTAATATCTCTGAGTCCATTTCATTAGAAAATATGATTAATGATAATGCCCATGCCAAAAGTGGAGAAGTCAATGAGATGCCACGTGTAGATTATACATGTTCTAGAACATAGTATGGTATGGATTTATATTAATGCTTTTTGCTTCCCCTATTCCCTGACTTTCCCCACACTGTACTTATATTTAAAAAAAAAACAAACAGCTCCCAAATGACAGCCTCAAATTATTTAAAGACAGCTAGGATGCACATTCACTGCCCAGCTGGTCTTCCCCCACGTGAATCAGCTGGGAGTTAATTTGTCAGTGGAAACCCTCTCCTCTGGGACACTCAGCAGAGCCTATGGTGGACACCCTCTCAAGCTAAGACTTTCCTCCCTTTATCTCTTATAGCTCTATGAAGTCAACAACAAAAAAAAAAGCTGAGCTTCTGCACCTGTGAGACTGTGACAAAAGTGAGATTTCTGGGAGTAAGGGGTCAAATCATAGACACAAACCAATGCAAATCCCATTGATTCTGGTCCCCATTATCTCTTCAGAAATTATCAAGTACCATTTATCAGTTGGTATTCATGTGTCGGCATTTAAAATGCTTGTAGGTGTACAGCCAAAGTCTTAGCATGTGATGCCAAAGGAGGCCTCAGAAAGCTGAGTCCTCAAAGCCTCCAGGGCTTAGTTCAATGCCTTAATCAATGAATCTTTGTCCAGTAGCAGATGGGTCCTCAGTCCTCCAGGCTTAGAAACCTGAGACAAAGGAACATAAAATATGTCTAGAGCAGGTGTGTCCAACCTGTGGCCTATGGGCTGCATGCAGCCCCAGGATGGCTGTGAATGAGGCCCAACACAAAATCATAAATTTACTTAAAACATTATAAGAATTTTGTGATTACATGTTGCAATGTATTTAATGTGTGGCCCAAGACAACTCTTCTTCTTCCAGTGTGGCACAGAGATGCCAAAAGGTTGGACATCCCTAGAGAGGTTTATAATCACATACTGGAGATGCTGGCAAATGATTGAGCACAGAGAATACAGAGAGAATAATATAGTTGTTATCACAGTAAATCATCTTGCCACAGTTCCACTGGTAAAATGCTCTCAGGGGCCCAGCAGTTTACTGCAATACCTGATTTAGATTTTGAAGGGCTGACTGGGGTGCTCCAGATCTTATGCTTTGTTCACAGATGGTTCCAGGGTTGCTTCCTAGTATTTGTTAAGAAACAAAGGAACTTAACAGCAGTGGGGTATCTACAGCTAGAAGATACCATATCAAGATTGGGGGACAGCTAAGGGTGTGTCTCTAGGTGTGAATTAGATTTACCAAACACACTTTGTCACATCTGCCCTCAACTGTGAAACAGGAAGAAACACCCACAAGTTCTGCTGTCATATACTAGCAGTTTTGGTAAATGAGTCAGCAGTATCCTTCTCACCTCCCCCAAACCAAACCACTGGCCACAGACATGATAAGAAATGCACACTCTAGGCAAGATGGGAAGACAAAGAATTCATTCACTTAAAAAGGTTAAGGTGTAACCTTCAGGCCTTCTGAGGAAGTGAGGCCTGATTTGAGGAAAAGAAATGGCTTTGGTGGACAAAGTTCCTGAGTAGATGAAGATCCTTAGGTGGGGAGTGGAGGTTAAGGAGGGGGGTGTTGAGTGTGATCCAAGGTCACATCAAAGGCAACATCACAACCCAAACATTGCTCCATTCCACCCTGCTCCCACCCAGAAGTGCAGCTAACACCAGTTGATTTTAGAAGGGTCTCTATTGTTACACCCAATCCCAATTTGGTGGGGGTGGGCACACTGTTTTCACCCAAGCCCACTTCTCCTCCCCTCTTCTCTGTAGTCCTCTCTCTACTCAACACCCCAAACACTTACCCACTCCAGAGTTTTATTTGTTATCCTCAGTCTGCTCTTTGTTAGTAGCTGAGAAATAGGAAAAATTAAAGGGTGTTCTAGTGGATGCCAAAACTCTGGAAATCTCACAGATGTACATCTGTCCTACAGACAGTCTTCTCTCCCCATTCTTGCCCTTCGTTCCCGACACTTACTACTACTGAGGCCAGGTGGAAGAAAAATCTTCCCCACTCCAGCACATAAACTAGGTTCTCCTTCACTGATAGGTCTCTCCCTTAAAACTCTTTTTGGTGTTGTGTAAACACTCTAGATATTCTAACTGTCATTTTAGCCTCCTGATATGAATGTGGAGATAGACCCTAACTGAGGCAGGAATCTCTTCTCAACAACATAGCTGAGTCTCATGGTCAAAGGAAATCAGCCATGTTCTGGCCCCTTATGCCTGTAGGTTCTGATTCTAGGTGTAACCTAAGAGAATGATCAGGCTCAGGGAAATTGGTTTTATAGCAGCAGCCTCAAATGTGTGGGCATGTCATGTCATTATATCATTGCCATTGCCTACAGGGAATGGCCCTGACCATTTGCAATAGCTAAGAGGCTAAGGCCCAAGGGAATTGCCCATCATGGGCCAAGCATGACATCCTCCTGCATGTTGGGGAAGGACATGAGCAGATAAAGGACAAGAGCAAAGGGGATATGTGATCTAAATAAACTTTTCCATCACAATATGGTAGCCACTGACATACCTTTCTCTTTTAAAAGAACCAGTGTCCCACATTGGAAATATGGATAGAAACTTTCATTCTTCAACACCCCTTTAATTTTTTCCCAAATTTCTTGAACAAATATAAGAAATGATGACATAGAACTGTGGATAAGATCATAGACTGTGGAATCGTATTCTTGCATTCTAATCACTGTTTCCCTACACTCTTAAGAGCTGAGTGGTATAGACAAGCCCCTTACCTTCTTAAGGTAACCCCTAACCCTTACCTTCTTAGCTTTCTCATCTGTGAAATGAAAGTAATATCAGTAGCTAACTTAAAAGGTGAAGTGAGGATCTACAGTCAGAAATTAATAAATATTAGCCAGCTTTAAGATGTTAGATATTATTTTCTTATCTGTTCAATGAACTGAATTATCATATCTTATTTTCCAGATATATATTTATTACTATATTTACTAAGACACAGATTCTTAAAATTACAAATCACAAATGAACTTCACCATCTTTTAGCTTGACTCAACTTGGGTCACATCTAGAAAGAAATTTAGTCTCTCCTGTGAATCTTTCCCAGGTGAGCCTCTTTTTTAGGAAGGTACTTATTCACACTCTTTTCCACATGTCTACCACTTCAGTAAGCTTTCCTTTTCCTTAAATTAGTATTACTACTTCTGGATTTGGGAGAAATTTCCTACACTGCCTTGGCCAGTTGACTAGCCATTGAAGTTAAAAGAAAATTCTCCCTGAACTCCCCCACCTTTCATTTTCAGCCTAATTATCATAGCATGTCAAGGTGCTTATGTTCAGGTATGTCCCAGACCAACTCTTAAAAAATCAATCCAAATAGTGAGGAAGACAGGAATGAAGGTGGTGAGAATGGTCAACATTTCTCCAAAGAAGATATACAAATGACAGTGGTGGAGCGGGGTCACAGGTTATTAAATATTTTACCACATTTTTGCTTCAAATTTGTTTTCTGTTTTTCTCCTCTAAAACCTAGGTGTGTCTTATAGTCCTAAAAATACAGTTAGGTCATATAATAGAATTGCATCTTATTGGTCATATTGCATAATAAGTTTGCATCTGATTGGTTAATTCTTTGTACCAAAAAATCCTGATATACAAGCATAGGCACCTGATTTTTTAAAAATTTCTTTGGAGCAAGAGAAGTAGGTTATGACTATTATTTTTATTTTTTGTAAATCAAAATTTACCTATCTTTCATCAGATGGGCAAAACATATATTTTTTTGGCAGGCCACAGAATTTTAGTAATTAGTTTATGGGTGCCATGAGATGAAAAAGGTTGAAAATCACTACTCTAAAGGAAGAAGACACATCTCCAATGCGTTTGACCATAGCAGAGAGAAGGGCATAAACACACATGTGTGAAAGAAATTATCCTGATGGAGTTACTAGCATGGAAATGAAGCACTGATATTTCTGTCAGTAGGGGCTCAAGTTTCTGGGCTCCAGTACCTCAGACTGGTCAATACCACATCCTACAGTCCCCACTTTGTACCCTTGGGCTAGAATGAGGTGTCTCCTCTGACTCATCAGCTGTGGGTCCTGATGTGGTCACTTCTTCCTTCTCACAAAACCACCCAGAGAACATCATCAGGCAGGAGGCATGGAGGCGGAGACACACTTTCAAAGAAAGCCTTCCACGATAAAGCACCACAAAACCAGAGGGAAATTAAGATCACCGAGCCCTCCTGCACCCCCTTCCTCTTCTGGGGTTTAAAAGGCAGCACAGAAAAACACCAGAAGCTCCAACCTGGACAGCCTTCCTGCGAAGATGTGGTCACTCTTGCTCCTGTACCTGCTGGCCTTTTTACTACTCCCTGAGGCAGAGGCAGGTAAGTGACCATCCCTATCCTCACAGGCCCAATTCAGTGCACAGTGGCCCCACACTCCTGACCCTTCTGCACATCTCTGATCCATCTATCCACCAGGAATGTTCTGGAGCCCAACTCCCTTCCCATCTCCGGCCCCCAAGCATGATTCCAGGTAAACTACAGGCAGAAATGACAGGGCAGAAGGCTATTCTCAAGAAGAGCCTGTGGGCACAATCCCCTCACCCCCCAAGCCCTACCTTTCCATCTAGAGAGTGGAACTTTCCTAGAAGTGCATGGAAAAGGGTAGGAAACTGCAGAGGCTTCCTTGTCTGTGATGAGACAGGTGCTCTCCTTAGGGTCTGCTTAGGAGAGAAACCCAGAGCTCAGCCCACAGTTGCTGGGGTCACTGTCCCCAACACAGAAGACTGCTGTTGCCTTTGCTCCATCCCACGGCCCCTCAATCCCTTTCTCCAGCTCTGCTTTTCTTCCCAGGCCTTTAGCAGTTCCCCTGTTTAAAGGATGAGCCACTGTGGTTGGCAAACCCTCTGCTCTCCAGAGCCCCATGTCACTGGCCTTACCAACCTTTCTCCAGAGGCCCATTAAAGACCATTCCTGCAGGCAGGCAACAAACCCTTAGCAGGCACTCACTACATGTCAGATGCTATGACACACTTGGCAACATCTAGTTCCCCGAACTTAAGTCCTGGCTACTGCAAAGTGGCACTGTCCTGAACATCACAGCACCACAGGGGCCTCAGACACGCACTTCAAAGCAAGTGAAGTCAGGAGAGAAATCTTCAGGAGCCTCCAGGCCTTCACTCTCCCTAAGACAGGTATGTTCGCCTCCAACTAAGGCCCCTCCCCATACTCTTTCAGCTCCAGGCCAGCTCAGGCTCCCAAGTGCCCAACAGGTCTGAGTCATCAAGCAGATGCCTGCCTGATAAACTCAGTGAGTGCACAGAAGCAAAACAGACTTTTCCTTCAGGGGAGATCATCGGGGGACATGAGGCAAAGCCCCACTCCCACCCCTACATGGCCTACCTGAACATTCAAGGTGAAAACAGCTTGAAGTGTGGCGGTATCCTTGTGCAAAAGAACATTGTTCTGACAGCTGCTCACTGCAATGGAAGGTGAGGGACAGCAGCCAACCTGCATCCCCTGAGACCCCTGTCCTTTATCCCAGGGGCTATAGCCCAGAGCAGCTCCCCAGGCCCCTGGTAACTCAAGCCCAGAAGAGCTCAACAGAGGAGCTCACTGGGATCATGATTAAAGCAATGAAAGGCTAAGAATGGGATGAATAGGCTCTTTGGGCTCAAAGAATCCCAGGTGAGAGTCAGTGAAACAGATGAGAAGACAGGGACCACACTAGCCAAACAAAGCAGCAGTAGACAATGACTGCATGCACTGGAGTCAAAATGAAAATTCAAGCAATTTCATGATATGGCTTGAGGGCAAGAAAAAGTTCCCAGAAGCCTTACCCTAAGTGTCCCTGAGAAGCAGAGTCACCCTGCCTTCCTGTGACCTCAGTTTCCCCAGCTGCAGCCCTGCCCTGCCCCAGCTGTCACCTGTGCTTCTCCGGCTCCTGAGCTCTATCTCCTGTGACTCCATGCCTTCCTGTGAACACCCATTCTGCTCTCTGTACAGGTTAATCCGTGTCACCCTGGGGGCTCACAACATCCAGAAGCAGGAGAAGACCCAGCAGGTCATCCAGGTGAAAAGAGCTGTCCCCCACCCAGACTATAATGCTAAGAACTTCTTCAATGACATCATGTTACTGCAGGTAAGAACAGCTCCTGCTGCCCTTGCACTTCTGGGTTCTCATTGTTTCTCCCCTCACTGTGACCTGTCCCTTCCTTCCCTCCCATCCTGGCTGCCTGGCCTGTCCCAGTAACTCAGGTGTCCCATCACAATGTCCAAGTCCAGAGGCCACTGGCTGACCTGGTCTCTCTTGCCTCTTCCCCATCAGCTGAAGGAAAACATCGAGCCAACTAATGCTGTGAAGCCCCTCCACCTGCCCAGGGGCAAGAACAGGCTGTATCCAGGAGAGAATTGCACTGTGGCCGGCTGGGGAAGGGTCGCCCCAGAAGGCAGACTTTCAGACACATTGCAGGAGGTAGAGCTGACTGTGCAGAAGGATAAAGTGTGCGAGGAGCTCTTTAACCATTATTACAACAGGGCCATTCAACTGTGTGTGGGGAACCCGGAGGAAAAAAAGTCTTCCTTTAAGGTGATACTGAGGATCTGCCTACCTTGGCTTTGGGAAAAGGGATGTTTGGGGAAGAACTGACACCTGGAGAGCCAGGCAGTGTGAGACTCCTTCACTCTCTAGGATGTAATCATTCTCTCCGGGAAGAAAACAGGGGAGCAGCCAGCACTGGGGTGAAATAGGGCCTCTGAGAGGCTACCAAGGGCCTGTGTTAATCTAAACATGGTGCTCCTCCAGAAGGAAGAATTTGCAACACTCTGGCCCATGCAGAGGCACAGTGGCTAGAAAACTGTTCCCTGGATAAGCAACAGTTAAACCTGGTGGCTCCTTGGAGCTGGCACCTACCTTGATTAATGAGCTCATCCTCTGTGCTAAGTGTCTGCCCCACCTACTTGCTTTTGTGTACTTACACAGTAGACCAGAGCCACAGTCCCACAACACGCTTATAGGGAGGGGACCCAGAACCTGGGGGAGCAGAGGGAGCTGCCACTTGGGGAGAAATGGAGTAGTGATGATGTCCAGGCTGGGGGCCCTGAGGGGCCTGCAGGCCCTTGTATCTCCTACATGGAGGCCATACCAGGCAGCCTTCTCTGAGGGGGCTTGGAGGGCAGGACCAGGACAACTGGCTCAGGCCTTCCCTCTTTCTATCTACAGGGAGACTCCGGGGGCCCTCTCATGTGTCACAATACGATTCATGGCATTGTCTCCTCTGGATTCCACAATGGGACAGCACCACGAATCTTCACCAAAATCTCAAGTTTCCTGCCTTGGATAAAGAAAACCATAAAAATACTCAAATTGCAGGAGCCAGATTATCTTCTCTGGAGCTAATCCATAGCACACTGCAGGGAGGGAGGAGAGGTGGTTGTCAGTAACCATGTAAATAAATGTCTCTCGGCAGAATGGGAAGAGCTCGGTTTTTTGTTTACTCTTCAACCCTCATTCACAGGCAACAGCGCTGTGCTTAGAAGGCCAATCAATGGCACAATTCTGCTGTGTTCTGTTTCCTCCTCTTCCCCTTTCCCCCACCACCCACCAACCCCCTTGCAAAGCTGTTACCCAGCTCCTTCCTGGGCCACATACCTCCAGGGCCTGCCCTTCTGCCAGGGTAGAGCTGAGCACCATTAGGAGAAAATATGAATCTCTCAGGTCCTGGCCTCATTGTGAAGGTCTCCTTCCCCTTGTTACAAGGCAGAGAAGAAGAGAATACCACTGTGCAGCTGGACACCCAGCAGGCACAGCCTGTGACTGTAGTTCAGTGACCTGGCCCCACCACACTGTGGGTGATGGGAAGAGACGGATTTGGGAGTAGGGTTGAGCTTCCTGAGCAGGACATTTTCTCCCAGTGGCAGCTTTTAGGGAGGCTGAAGGTGAGGTGGGGAGCAAAGCCTGAGAAACTCCTCATTCTCACCTGGGCTGAATTTCTTTCCTTGCCCTTTTCTGCCCTCCTCTGAGCTAGCTGACAGCACAGGTTGGTCTCCAGTCTCCTGGTTGCCCCTTCTTCTTCATCCCTGCTAACCACTGAGAGTTTTCAGAGTCCATCAACTCCTGTCCCCTCCAGACCACACTGATCTGAGCTTGACACTTCCTCATATCTCTCCCATATAGGACACTCAGCGTTCCAAGGTTCCAGCAGGTGCTCATCACTGAGCTGCCACCCCAGCTTATGTCCTGGCAGAGGGTTACCATGGGACCTCACCTGTGCTGGCACCATGCAGGGCCATGGAGGGCAGGGCTGGCAGGAGACCTGGCCCCACCTCTTACTCGGGCAGAGCTAGCTCAACCCCTCACATCCAGCCCAGGGTCTTCACCATGCAATCAGTACCTACTGACCTCCTGGTTGCTCAGGAGCCTTAGTCCCTTTCAGCTTGTTCCTCTGCATCACTGCCAGCCTCTAGACTCCGACTGCTTGCTGGCCACTGTGGGCTATATCAGCCTTTTGAGTTAGAAAGGGCTTCTCTCTGCAATAGCACTGGAAAGCAAAATTTGTCCATCAAACAATGAACAAATGCTGATTGATCACCAACTAAGTACCAGGTGTTGGGGATATACAGTGAACACAATACAGATTCTATCACCTGAACCCAAGTGAAACTGACAGTGTTGACTTTCACTCAAATCTAATTCCCTCTCCCTCCTTAATGTGGGCCCACATGGCCTAGGTCTCTGTGGGAAACCCATGGGAGTAAAGTATTCGTGTTTTATTTTTATTGCCAGTTACACTCTGTTTGAATTTTTTCACTTGTGGCTCTAGAACAGCAGCATATGGAATTTAGAAGTGACTTTAGTTCTTTCATTTCTAGGCGTGAAGTTATCAAGCTGTTCACCGAAGCATCTTTTCACATCTACTCACACACAAAGCATGCAGCAACACAATCTCTCAATGACCTTGAGGGTGTTACCAGCAAAGAGCAGTCTTTTCACACAACGCTGACCTGGAGCTGAAAAAATTTTAAAAATCTCTGCATCTAACACTTACTAAGGACCTACTGAAAAACACACCAAAAAAAAGTGCAAAGCAAAACAAAAATAGTATTTTAAAAAGTTGCCCAGCTACATACTCATTTAGGTACAACATATATGAGGAAATGATTCTATGGTGTGAGGCAATGATTCTAAGTTCTCAGGAAACGATTCTATGGCTTAAACAAGTTTTAGAGATGCACTGAAGGTCCTCATCTTGTTCTGAGACCTAAGGGAGAGACAAAGTCCCAGGACAGTGTGGTGACCAAGTGAAGGTACCACCAAGTTAGGACAGAGCCTAGTCTGAGCCCAGGCCCCGACAGCCAGGCCAGCTAGAGGCCTTATGTGTTTCCTCACGCCCACTCTGTAATGACTTCCTGCCATCCCTGAACACAACATGAGCTTCTGTTCAGACACCTTCCTGGAGAGAAAGCCTCTGTGCTTCCTGGAGAGAAAGCCATTCTACAAGTGTGCAAAATATGTTCTTTGGCGAGCTCAGATCTGCTTGTGGGCATTTTGGGAAGAGGCAGGTAAGCACCTTGAGCATACTGATTCTTTCAACTCTCCTTCCTGCAAACTCTCCTATGTGAAGTATTTTCTTATCTCCCACGTTTGAAGAAAGCTGCTTAAAAATCTTTGTGATGAAATTTTAAAAAATATCTTACTAATGTCTCTACTCACCAAGACTGCCATCCACACACTTCTTTGCTCAAGACCCACAAGAAGAGTCAGGTCTCAGTGTGACTGGGAGAGAACCACCCAGCCAGCTCCTAGGGTGGGGGAATAGGCCCAAAGGAGTGCAAGATCTTGGTAATTTAATCCAGGAGCATGGACTGAGATGGCTCTGCCTTTCCTGCCCAGCACTGTACTTCTGCCAGGACTGCTCTCCAAAGACTTGTGAAACTCAACAGGGTTTATTCCCAGTCTTATCCCACACAACACTGCATTTGACAACAAACACATTTCATGTGAAGGGAGTGCAGCAACAGGTTTCTTTTTTTTCAAAGCCCTATTGTTAGCCTACATTTTTCATCCTCAGATCCAGACAGCACAGTGAACATCAGGCAGGACAAAGAAAGCCACTTTTAAGCACAGAATAGTCACGTGGATGAACATCAAAGATAAAGATAAAGTCGAAAGTAGACAGAAGAAATAAAATGATACAGTGCTGTAGAGGAAGCAACAATGTGAAAAAAATGAGCTTTTTTCTAGAAATAATGCAAGTCAGAAGACAGTGAAATGACACTTTTAAACAGTTCAAAGAAAGGAAAGTAGTCCATCTCTTTCTGGAACTCAACTTGGAATTCTATGTCCAGTGTAAGTATTGTTCAAAAATGAAATAAAGACACAAAAGCTAGGTAACAGACTTTCTTGCCATCATACCAGCACTGAAAGAAATACTAAACTAAATTCTGTAGGCAGAGGAAAGTAATCCTCAATCTAAGCAGAAGGGAAAAAGAGAAATAAAAGGATAAAATGTGACTGAGTATAAATGGTGGCAAGGGGAGGATGCATCATTACAGTGTTCCTCTTTGCGTAGTATACGTGAACTTGAAGTACACTCTGATATGTAAAGGGGGCACAGTGTAATCCAGAGCCATTAAAATAATATGGAGAGATATAACTAAAAGCCAGGAAAGAAGACAAAATGAGATACGACAAAAGCAGGCAGGAAGAGAAGGACAAAGGAACAAAGAATAATCACACAAATGGAAATCAAATAGCAATATGATATTGTTCAACACAACCCTCTCAGTAATTGCATTAAAAGCAAACAGATTACACACTCCAGCTAAAAGGCAGAGATCATCTGTCTGATTTTTTTTAAAAAGCAAGAGCCAATTTTGTGCGGTTTGCAAAAGACCCAACTTAAACGTAAACACATGGATAGAATGAAAGTGAAAGTATAGACAAAAAAGATATAACCTGCAGCACCAATCACCACCCCCAAATACAAACAGCCATATCCGTGCAGTGTGCTGTTTAACTTTTGGATTTTTTTGTCACCTGTGAGCAAAAATACCATTTTTTATTTGATATTTATTTTTATTTTCCTTAATAGGGGTAAAGTTGAGATTCTTTTAATTATTTTTTAAATATATTTTACTGTGACCTGTGCAGGTCTTTGCCTATTCTTCTATCACCTTTTTGGTCTTTTTCTTCTGGATTTTCAGTTATTTATATATTAGATAGATTCACTCTTTAACTAAATTTGTTTCCAAGTTTTACATCTGCATTTTAGATTTTTGAATTTTGTATCTTTGAATTTTTTTAAAGATTTATTTATTTATTTTTAGAGAGAAGGGAAGGGAGGAAGAAAGGAAGGAGTGAAACATGAAACATTAATGTGTATTTGCCTCTAGTGCACCCCCTATTGGAGACAAGGTCTGCAATCCAGGCAAGTGCCCTGACTGAGAATCAAACTGGTGATACTTTGCTTCACAGGCCCGCCACACTCAATCCACTGAGCTACACCAGCCAGGTGAATTTTTTAAATATATTCTATGGATTATGCTATTACAGTTGTCCCAATTTTGCCCTTTTTGTCCCCCTCTGCCAAATACCCTCATTCTCTCCAGCATTCCTCCCCCCTTAATTCATGTCAATGGGTCATGTTTGTAAGTTCTTTGGCTTCTCCATTTTCTATACTATTCTGAACCTCCCTCTGTCTTTTTTCTACCTACTATTTATGCTACTTATTCCCTGTACATTTCCTCCCCCATTCTTCCCCTCCCCACTGATAACCATCCATATGATCTCTATTTATGTGACTCTGTTCCTGTTCTATTGTTTCCTTAGGTTGTTTTTGTTTTTGTTTTAGGTTCAATTGAGTTTGTTGTCATTTTACTGTCCATATTTTTTAAAGATTTTATTTATTTATTTTTAGAGGGGAAGGGAAGGAGAGAGGGAGAGAAATATCAATGTATGGTTGCCTCTCGTGGGTCCTCTGCTGGGAACTGGCCTGCAACCCAGGCATGTGCCCTGACTGGGAATCGAACCACGATCCTTTGGTTTGCGGGCCCACACTCAATCCACTGAGCTACACCAGCCAGGTTACTGTTCATATTTTTTTTATCTTCTTCTTTTTCTTAGATAAGAGTCTTTAACATTTCATATGCTATGGGCTTGGTGATGATGAACTCCTTTAACTTGACCTTATCTGGGAAGCACTTCATCCTACAATAGTGTTGTCATCAGAGTCTCCCTGAGGCTTGGAGGGAAAGGCTTGGTATAGTTCAAGCTGGAAAGAAGAGTCAAAGGCCAGCTGCAGCCTTGGGACATTAGGGAGACAGGAAGCCCTGCTCTGGCCCTGATCCCCCACACAGCCCCTAACAGAGACCACCCACCCCGGGGAGCAGAGAAGGCAGGACCACAATAAACACATCTCTAGAACCAATACCAGTGAAGTCTTATTTCAGTGAACCACTTTCAACAGGCAGCAACAC